CCCCAAAACCCCAAAACCCCAAAACCCCAAAACCCCTAGCCCACAAAATAAAATTGCGCGATACTAATAATCAATTAAAATGGATACGACTCGACAGAGACACAGGAGTGCAAGAAGTGCAAGAAGAGTTATGCACACACCAGAAAGAGAGCCAGGATTAAAGAGCAACAAGATAGAGTTCTTGACAAAGTCTTTCCTCAAGGTAAACAAGTCTCCTCCAAGATTCAATACTAAGGAAGAAATGGAAAGAAGAGAAGATGATGAAATTTGTCCGAAGTATGGGCATCCAATTATTGCTTATGAAGAAGATGATGGAACTACCTTGTGCGAAAAATGCATCTACCACGGAAATGTGAGGAAGCCAGTATTCACAGCCACTGTTGCCAATCAGATCAAGAAAAGATTCGACCAAGAGTTTTCCATCTTCGAGGAATTATGTGAGAAGCTAACTTCCCTCAATCCAAGAGAGGTGAGAAATGAAATCCAAGGCTCAATCACCAATTTCTTTGATGCAATTAGAGAAAAATGTGATGAGCTTGAAGAGAAAGTCGTTGCCAAGGTTGAGAACTCTAAAAACCTCAACAGGCTGTTCGATATCCTCAACGATACCCATAGCTATATGGACAAGAACTGTGTCGCTGAGAAATTTGATTCTGAGGCAACTTTTCTTGACTCTAAGATCTCTGAAACCAGATATACTTATGTTTGTCAAAGAAAGCAGCACTATGATGATGTGATTGAGCAGATCTCTACTGACAATCAGAAGTTGTCTGATGCTGTTGAAGAGGCAGACAAGATGATCAAAACCATCTTTGAGCTGACCAACGGAAAGGATGACACTCTTATGCAGAACACCATGAATGATTTGATCAGTAAATCAATGAAAATTGATAAAAAGAACCCTGATTTTACCAACCTAACTGATACTGAGAGAAGGGCAAGAAACACTGATATTCTTAGCTATGGTAAAGAAGAGAACAAAGAGGACAGTGAGTTGATCAAGCATGAGATAGACTTCAGTGCCACTGAGCATAAGGATGGCAACTGGAAGGCAGAGGAGATGAAAGAGATGTACTTCAACCAAGAAGGAACTCTCTATAAGAGATCATTAGAGGAAGGTCAAGTCACAGAGACTCAAATTATGGACCTCAAGCTTCACCTACAGAAGGTCATCACTGTACCTAGTGGAAGAACTAGCAAGGTCTTCTTGATCGGAGGAGCCAAAGATTTGGAGGGTAAAACAGCTGTTTCTCAATGCTTTGAAGTAAACCCAGCTAAAAAGACTACCACAAAAGTTGATAGCTTGCCTGTTGCTAAGTTATCTTTCGCTGCAGCTTTATCTTCAGATGCCAAGAATATTTATATTGCAGGAGGATCCACCGGAGAGAATAGAGCCACAGATGAATGTGGATGTTTCAATGTAAACAAGAAGAAGTGGTCTCCTCTTCCTTCAATGAACAATGCAAGATTCTCTAACTCTTTGATCGTTTGTGAGAACACTGACTTGTACTGCTTTGGAGGAGTTGATAATGGAACTAGTGATCCAACAAGATTCCCTCCCCTCAAGAGTATTGAAACTCTTGATCTCACTGAAAATAATGGCAAATGGAAAGAACTGAGCATCACCTTGCCATTCAAGACAACCAGCCCTGGAGCTATCAGCCTCGGCCACAGAGCCTTCGTCGTCTTCGGAGGTTGGAACAGAAATTTGCTGACAGTCTCAGTAATAATCAGACCTTCAGTTAAAGGAGATGAATATGGCCTAGAAGAATCAGGAAGTCTCAAGAAGGGTGATGTATTCGTTGCTAATGGTCTCGTCGCTAGAGATGAAGCTAAGAAGGAGACTATAATCTTTGGAGCTTCTCACGCCCACGTGTATAACCAAGAAGAAAAGACATTCATAACTCTCTAAGGGATGTTCAAAACGGTGATTAAAGATTCCAATCAATTGTATTCCAAAAATTGGGGTTTTGGGGTTTTGGGGTTTTGGGGTTTTGGGGTTTTGGGG